GAAAAATCACGGCGGTTTTTCCAGTTCTCTGATATGCTGTCTCTTACATAACCGACGAAGGTCCCCAAGTGTACAATCCCATCGCAGATATTATGAGAAAAGGAAAACCTAACAAAGTCGGTAGGGTTGAGTTCGGAGTTGTGATGTAATGCAAAGAAGTGATGTTGTATCCCTTAAAGTCTGTATCTCGGCAATGGTATGTGAATTTGGAGCTGTTTCTGTACTTTACGGATAGATAACACTTGTATGACATCCGTATGTTAAATAGAAAAAGCGCAACTTGTGATTTTGCGTACAACACCGAATCGGACGGAGTTAAGACAGCATTCAAGGCTTATGGCATCGACTCGTCAGTTTGGACGCATGCCAATCGTGGTTCTGGAGCAGAATGGAGAACAGATGGAAGCGTGCCATATGGTAATGCATATTTTGGCAGGGCTCCCAACAAAGGGAGGTGGCTATTGGTTAGATCTTACACAATCATCCAAACATTCGATCTACAGCAAAGGTTTTCCCCAAGCTAGATGCCGCTGAGAGCGCCCTTTGCATTCCCAGAAGTCGGGAATAGCAGGAGGTCACTTCATTCAATCGTTGCATGCTTTGAGAGTAGTTTTTATTCACGGCTCAGTAGTGCTACGTAGGGAGTTCCCCTTCATCCTCTTTGGAGAGACGCTTAGTTCGCATCGTAGCAGTACATGAAATTCGAAATTGAGATTGCTGTCTTTACAATCTTCAAAGCACCCCCAAGACGATCGCCTTGAAGCTGCAATCCCGTTAGTTGCATCAACACCAAAAGCAGAATTCGAAGCACTGCACGGAAAGATCGAAAGTCTTGCTAGCGATATACAACAGCTTAAAGTGCAAGGCCCTTTTGCCATCAGCAACAAACTCGTGATTGTTTAGCGGACACCAACAACGATTGCCAAGTGCGTGTTACTGCCATTGGCGATAACACTGTATGCTTACGGCAAGGGGAACTCCCAGATAAGGGCCTTTTCACGTTGTTTATAAGGCCCTTACTTCTCCGTCGGGGTCGGGGTTTGAGAATTCAAACGTGATTGGCCTTCCATTTATTCCCAGTTGATGCTTTTAATCCTACAGGGGGATTTTGTACGGATAATATTCCGAGATAGGCAACTAGAAGTACAGGCAGAAAAAACCGTGGCTACACGAGATGGCGACGAAGACACTGTGCTAGTCGTGCCCCTGGGGGCTGTAAGTGCGGCTGCGTGAAAACCAGCGTACAGTGCCTCAGCTCAATTTCGATGAATTAATGGCATCTTCTCGTT